CCGGGGCTGCCCTGTGCCCTCCCTTCCACTGCCGCCAGGATGAGGCCACCACCACTGTGCTGCTGCAGGTGCCCGGCATCCTGCCGCAGAGCCTCAGCGGCGACCTGGGCGCCAACCACTATCACCTCCGCTTCTCCAGCCCTGCTGGCTCCTATGCCCTCTTCCTACAGTTTCCTCCGGCCAACAGGCTGGCTTCCCCGGAGACCAGCATTGACGTGTCTGCCCACAACGCCGCTATCGTGCTCACCAAGGCCCCCGGCAGCACCAGGCCCTGGGAGAAGCTCTGCTTCGGCCTCGACGCCTCTGCGCTGCAGGTAACTGCCCCAAAGCGGTGGGGTGTGGGTGTCACGCTCCCAGGAATGTCACGGCTTCGCTGAAGTACGTGACTTCCGCTGGTTGCGTTTGTTTGTGAACAATAATCTCGGGGAAGGTATTAGGTTATCGGTCCAAGTTCAAAACAAGTTGGTAGTGACAGAAATTGCTTCCTTCAGAGAGCCCTTACTGGACTAAGTGGAACGACCTCATTAGGGCTGGCCTTTTCCCAGCGGTGCAAAGGTCCTGTCACAGAGCTGGGGTTGGAAAGACTTCCGCCTTCTGAGCAGGCTTTTCTAGGAAAATTTCGACGATGAGGGAAAACAGGGCCTGTCCTACATACTTAGCTCTAGTCCTGTAGGCCGTGTGAATGACTGTCTTGGACATGCAGTGTGTTCACATGGAAAAAAAGCAGATGTTTATAGTACAAGTATATGTACAGCTTCTTGAAATGCAGGCCTGTGAGTGGAATATACCCCTCTCCCCGTCTTCCAGGACAGAGTTCCCATTTTACAGCTGGAGAAACACCTATTAGTTCAACCGCAGTAATACAGAAAGGAGCAGTTGTGAACGGTCAGCTGTTGATTGCCGTTTTGTTGGGCTAGTTCTTCGTTCTCTCCTCTTACCGGTCTGAATATGATTCTAGTTTAGATGTTTTATTATTTTATGGGTCATTAGGCCGTGAATACTCCATCTGACGTGAAGAGTTTGGCACACATACTGCATCTGGCTAGCAGTGCTTAGTGAGAGTTGGCAGTTTCCCCACAAAGAGATGCTCGCGTCGAGGCACTCTTCCTGTGAAGAAGCACTCACAGAGGTTTTGTGGAGAACTACGTTATTGTGTAGCTCAGTGCTTCAGACAGCTTATCACGAACAGCGATTAGGACAGCATAACTCTTGTGCAACTTTTCAGCCCTGCGAGCGATAAAATCCTTTCTAGTTTGGATTGCATACCATGACAGTGGAAGTCCAGAAAATTGGGTAGCTTAAAGTACATCTACTGGGATGGTGGCTTGCAGGATGGTAATTGCTCCAATCCTAGAATTAGAAAACGCTGTATAATCCTGAAGGAGATGTTTGCATCCAGTTAGTATATGTGCAGCTGAATCTTCGCTTTATTTCTCATTTAGCAGGCCTAGGTAAAGGCTACCTACCTTTTCTGTGATAGCAGCTCCTCTGAAGGAGGAGCTGATTGCTTCAGGTAAGTACCGCAGATGAAGAGAGAGTATTGAGAGCCACCTACCTACACTGAACTGTTTGGAAAGCGTTTTCCTTCACTTTTACTGAAGCAAGAGTTCGCAGGTCTGTGTGAGTGGCACTGTGAAACATGCAGCATTATTGGTAATTGGTGTGACCGAGTACGGGGTGCTGCTGCAGTGTCAAACCAGTCACCGTGCAACCTATTGCCTATTCTCTGTAGAGGCACAGCAGGCATGTATGTATAGGAAGTAAAAGCATTTTAACTGCTTTTTCCATCTCTTAATGTGCATCATGGTGCACGTCTGTGCTTTCTCGTTGTTTTACAGCACACAGGCCTACACATATGCAGGATTAACAGTCGCGTTACCAGAGGGTCTAATGACCTGCTCCAGTTTCTCAGAGTTTGGCAGAAACAGTAATGTAGTGACAGTGCAGTGGTTTTGAGACATCGTTGTCATACTCTGTTTCGTTAGCATTTATCATTCTGAATTGTTGTAGCAAAGTTCTACGTTTTTAAGGAAAAAAGCAGCTTTCTGTGACTACATGGGAATATTGCTGAGGGCAGTGAATCCAGTTTGGGAAGAGGAAATTCTGCTGCATTATGCCCTCGATGGTGTGGCTGTGATTGATTACCATTTTTGCATCTTTCATCTCAATCTAATGATTAAGATGTTTGGTGTGTGCATTCATTGTTATGACTAGGGGAATGCCTTTTGATAGAAAGTTGATAAAAGGCCATCCAGTTATGAGATTTTAACCAATATTACCATTTTGTGAGTTAAAATCTTTAAATTTGCTGAACTTATGTATTGCAA